AAGAAAGAAAGAAAGAAAGAAAGAAAGAAAGAAAAGAAAGAAAGAAGAAAGAAAGAAAGAAAGAAAGAAAGAAAGAAAGAAAGAAAGAAAGAAGAAAGAAAGAAGAAAGAAAGAAAGAAAGAAAGAAAGAAAGAAAGAAAGAAAGGAAGAAAGGAAGAAAGAAAGAAAAGTAGGAAGGAAGGAAGGAAAGAAGGAAGGAAGGAAGGAAGGAAGGAAGGAAGGAAGGAAGGAAGGAAGGAAGGTAGGAAGGAAGGAAGGAAGAAAGAAAAAGAAATAAAGGAAGAAAGCTGAATAACAATAAATACCCCATTGCTATGGCTCTTTCCTTTGTTTCTGAGACAAACTTTTTGAGTTATCTCCACTCATATTTCCCACCTCCTGGCCTCCCATTCACACCTCAACCCATGGCAATCCATCCTTCCTCCTCCCCAACTCCTTTGAAAAAGCTCTCATTTCAGTCACCAAAAACGTCAAAGCCAATGGATGCGATTCAGTCCTTATCTTACTCTATTTCTCTGTTGCATTTATAGGTAAAATTTAGCACATAATTTAAAAATGCTTTTACACATATAATGTTATTTTGTATTCACAAAACACTTGTGAGGTAGGATTGCAATTCTATAATTGGCCCCAAATTGCACAGTTCATAAATGGCAGAGAAGAGATTTGATTCCAGCCAATTTGACTGCAGGCTCTTAAATTCTTTTGAATTTTTAAGGTGTTTATTGAATTACACCTGCCTCCAAAAATGCATACATGACTATACAGTCCAATGACCTCACTAGGGAAAAATAGTTAGCACCCAAATCAAGAAACAAGCATTATTAGCCCTGGAAGCCCCTCATGTTTCTTTTCAGTCACTATTAGTCACAGGTTAAGCATCCAGGGTTTACATGCAAAATCTCCCTGTACCTCTCACCGTATTATGAATCCTGTTACTCCTTCTCATGCTGACAAATGGCCTGAGGCACTGGCTAAGAACTCAGGTAGCCACCTACCTTTCCATTCTACACAGTCTTACGTCCACATTGGCTGTTCCCTCTCCTTAGCTCTCCCTGGCCTTCTGCCTGTTGGCTTTCAGTCTGGCCCATTTCTCTCTGCCCCGCCCTGGCTGGACTGACGTTCAGCCCTTGAGCCCACCTGGGTTGGCTGTAGGCTGCTTCCCAACAATTGCTGTTCTTCAGACTTCTCCATGGACCCAAGCATGGCAGAACAGCATGCTGCACCCAACCCTAGTGACTGGGCTCCCACACCCCAGCCCCGGCCTCAGGACCCACCCCTACCAGTCTGGGAGAGGGATAGTACAACACCCTTATTTTGAAAATCTGTCCTCCCTTTCTTTGTTTATAAGTTGCTACTCTCCCTGGATCTCTTTCTCTCTCTAGCTGCTGCTTCTAAACACTTGTTCTTTTGCTCTCTCCATTAAATTCTCATTTTCTTGGGAGTCATTCTGGATTTTTTTTAAAAAACATATTTTTCTTTCTAGATGATTTCTCCTACCTTCAAATCCTTAACTTTAGTGCACACTTTCTTCTTGACATCTAGACCCATTTATAGAACTGTTCTCCAACATCTTAGCTTAAAATTCCCACAGGCACTCAGGGCTCAGCATGTCCCTAAGAGACTCTGTGTGTTTCTTTCCATATCCTCTCAGTGAATGGTATCATCATTCAAAAAGTTGTGCAAATCATAAACCTGAAGTCATCCTGTTCTCCCTGTGCTACATTCCCCAACCCAAACTGATCACTAAGTTCTGTGGTTTTTCCCTTAAGTACTGCTTGAAGCTGACTCTTCCAACCTGGCTCCGTACAGCTGTCTTAAAGCCTTTGTTGTTTTTCAGATGATAATAGTTTCCTAACTCATTTCATGGCTTCCGGTCTCACTCCCCTTCCAATGCATCCTCCACACTAGAGCCAGAATGACCATTATGTTTTCATATCTAATTTCATTAAATCTCGGCTTTAATATAATTCACTGAATTCACAAGGTTTCGGGGTAAAGTCCAAACCCCTTAGCTTGGGGCGAGACTCTTCATCTGGCCCCTGTCTGCTCTCCAGGCTCATTTCTGCTGCTCCTCCATAGGTTGCTGCCTCTCGGCCCTGCTGAGGGACTTGCTGTTCTCTAGCTGGACCACGCTCACCGGCCAAGGCTTGCAAAGGCATTTCTCTCTATTTTCCTCCCTTTCTTGACCTGGCTTTTATCTCTCTCCATGCTGGGCACACCTACTATAGCACATAACTGACTACATATTATAATAAGCAGCTTACTTTTGTTTCTTCTCACACTACACTATGAACCATTGAGGATAGGGCCTTGACCTTTATTTCTGTATTATCAATTCCTGTCACATTATCAATGTTAGATAAATATTTGCTGGTGGTGCCATTTTAGCTCCTATCACTATACCAGTGCTATCCAACAGAACTTTCTGAAATGAAGGAAACGTTTTATGTCAGTGCTGTCCGATATGGTAGCCACTAGCCACCTAGGTACATGAAATGTGGCAGTGTGACTGAGGAACTGAATTTCTATTAATTAGAATTAATTTAAATAGCTATATGTGGCTAGTGGCTGCCACGTAGGACACGCAATTCTGTATTGGTTCCTTATCTATGATTTCCAATAAACTCCAGTGCCCTTGAGTAGTGTCTGGCACTTAGTAAGCATGCAATAAATTATAAATGAATATGTCAATGAACAAGATATTTTAAAAAGATATAGTTTTATCTGTCTAAAATAGTTTAGGTGGGGTTTTGATTAGGATGAGGAGAATAAATTGGCAAAATGATCTTTCAAAGGCCATTCAGATCTTACATCCTAAGAAAGAAAAATCTTAAGATATGAAAGAATAACAATTTTTCTTAAGATGCATGAATATGAAAGCTGAAGACCGACTTTCAAAGTTGCAGACAAATATTTAGCATGTTCATTTCTGACCAAAACAAGACTATAAGCTCAATGATTTCACACTAGTTTTCAGGGCTTAGATGGCTCTAATTGAGCAATTGGCTCAGTTCACTTCAGACCTAGAAATATTCAATAGTAAAAATATATGATAAAAAAGAAAACAATCACATTGTGTTTTAATACCAGTTTCTGAGAGTAGAAAAATAAGATTATTTGTGTGCATATAAGTCTAAAATTTGGCAAAGGAGAAATTCTTCCTGGACTAGAAGAGAAAGGATATTTTAAAGTCTAGTTATAAGTCAAGGATCTAGAGTTAGGAAACTAAACTATTTAGATGCTAACACCAGCTTTGATAAATTCGACAGAATCATTTGTTATATAATTTCAATAAGAAATTGAAAGAACTCAGTGGATTGAGTTTGAGTTCTTGAAAAATTCTTGCCAGTTGACTTCCCTCTATTTTGAAACATACAACAATATACTTCCCATGGAGCCCCAAGAGGGTAGGCAAACCGCGGAGGCCCGTACAGTCAGCTTTTACAGGCCCTCTCATCCACAGGTGTGTGTATGCGTGCATTTTATAACTTCCTTCCAAGTCAGATTTCTCTTGAGTTCAGGGCCCTGTTCTGTCACCAGATGGCCATGGGTTGGCTGTGTTCCCGTCAATCCTCATCAGTTCCCTGAACAGGAATGGGAAGCTGGTTGAACAAGCAGAACCGTCACTACTGTCAGCAGGGCTCCTATCTCCTTGTATGAAGAGAAGTAGAATTCCCTTTTGAGATTTGATGGACAGCATCCAGTTTAAACTACCGGGCTCAACCGCTGAAGTAAAATCTAATGGTTCTGTCATTTTATTTAAATAAACAATGAGAGAAAGATCTCAAAATTACACAAGCTCAAAATAAGGGTGAGTGTGACCTTGGACAAATCAAGGGCTCATGCTTTAAGTTCCCATCTATAAATAAAAGCACTGAAAAAGATGATCCCACAGGTCTCTTCTAGCTCTAAATGTCATTGTATTAGTAACAGCAATATTTTTTCAAACATGATAAATGTTACCATTTGTTGAAGGGCAGTTTAAAAAAAAAAAGGTAAAATCAAGACTCTCAAACAAATGTAAAATGACATAATTTAACTCTTCAGTAATGAGGGAACCAGGAAGATGTTACCACCAGTTCAAATGAGATCTTAATAATAGACACATTCACAGGCAATCAGGGATGCTGAAATAGATGTTAATAGATGAAAAACTGGTTACTATGTATAGAGCAATGCAGTATTTGGAATCATCTTTTCAAAGGTGTAGAAATTTATTGCATGTTGATTGAAAAATTCATTTGCAAATGAGAACAAGACTCATTTGAATTACTATCAGTTTCCTACCATTTGTGGTTATAGAAGAGCTAAGTCAAGGTCAATGAAAAACATAGGCCCCTACGGAATCAGCTACTCCAAAGGGTCCAAAAGACAATACTCAGCCTTCTATTGAAAGGATATCCAATAATCTTTTATTCATTTCAAAGTCTTCCACAGATTTTCCTGATGCACTTGCTACATGCTTATTATCATGTGGCAGATTCCACCCTAATTAACATTTATCTCATTTAACACCTGGGATATTGTGATATAATAAATACATACCATATTTGCCGGCGTATAAAACGACTGGGCATATAAGACGACCCCCTAACATTTCCACTCAAAATACAGAGTTTGTTATATACTCGCCGTATAAGACTACCCCCTCTTCCGCACACCTTCCACACACCAAATAAAAGGTAAAACAATATCAGATTTGATTTCAACATTTTAATTTATAATGAACGGTATGTGGAATGAAGTGGGCGGGCATCGGGAGGCCACTATGGCACGGGGCAAGCACTATGGGCAGTCTATCTGAAGTGTACCTGGCGTATAAGACGACCCCCCACTTGGAGGCATACTTTTCAGGGCCAAAAAATCGTCTTATACGCCGGCAAATACGGTACTCCTATATGGTCTTTATCTCTGGTTCCTGATGCACAGTTCTTAAAACCCTTGTAATATTCTGAGTAATAGGGGTGAGAAGAGCATCTTTTGTTATTCATAATAAGCCCCGTTCAACCTTTTCTGAGTGTATGTTAATGAGGTGAGTCTTAGAGATTGGGGTCTGGTTGCCAGAGGAACCAACCCGGTGACTAGAATGCTGCAACTTTCAGGCCACCCCCTGATCTCTGGGGAGGGAAGAGGAGTTGGGGCCTGGCTAATCACCCATGCCCAGTGATTCAATCCATCATGCCTGTGTAATGGAACCGCCATAAAAAGAGGCTTGAAGAGCTTCTGGATTGGCAAGTGCATCCACATGCTGGGAGGAAGGTGCGCCGCAAACCCCACAGGGACAGAAGGTCCTGAGCTTTGGACCAGGCCTTGCCCTGTGGACCTCTTCATCTGGCTGTTCATTTGCATTTCTCATAATATCCACTATAATAAATCAGTAATAGTAAGGAAAGTGTTTCCCTGAGCTCTGTGAGTCATAGCAAATTATCGAACCCGAGGAGGGGTCATGGAAACCCTCAAATTTGTAGTCAATTCAGACAGACGTGTTGGTAACCTAGGGATCCACTACCTGAAATTGGCATCTGGAGTTAGGAGCAATTTTGTGGTAACTTTGGTGTGGAAAACTCACACATTTGGTGTCAGAAGTGTTGTGAGCAAAGAAACAGTTGTCCTTTAATATCCATAACAGTACAATGAGGCATTCTATTGCACAGGTTGTGAAACTGAGGTTTAGAACAATGAAGTACTTTCCCCAAGGTCAAGTATCTCACAAGTTGGAAAGCCAGCGTTCATGAATATATGCTTTTACCCATAAGTATTTAATTTGTGGAATAAAGTAATTTTTTTTTTCATTTCAACGATGAAAAGTAGTTAAGTAAACCACAAAACTTTGGCAAAACTATTCAACTCCATGTGAGGACGTCAGCCAACTGATACCTGCTTCTCAGAGCTGACACACAATCCAAGGGAAGGATGTTACCAGGTCCTTGCTTACAGCACAGGTGTGGTTTTGACCTTCACTAGGGTGACCCACCTAGATGTACTGGATAGCTACAAGAAGCTCCTCCATGCAAGTCTCATAAAGGGCACCTCTGTGCCAGGGGAGCTGCCAAGTGATGGAAGGGTTTAGTGAGATGTTTGCAGTTGGCATGGGATTTTCCGCTAGGTCCAGGCTTGGCCTGCAGTGCTGAACACTGACAGTCAAAGCAGGGAGCAACTGTGCTCTGCTGGATAACTCTGGAAGGCTGAAAAGAAGTCTTCATTATCCACTTACAATTACACATGGGAATATTCACAGATTCAGTCAAAGAACAAACAAAGGGCTTTGACTTGTCAACAAGAATATCAAAAAGAAAAAGAAGAAAGAGGTGTTCAGCTTACCCACGGTGTCACGCATGCGATTCAGCAAGGAATTATCTGAAATATCTAATAACATGACAAAGTCAAATGCAGCAGGAGGAGGAGGCACTTCTCTGGCAGCTGTAGGATCAACAGCCAATGTGGATATTTGCTCTTTCTTTCCCTCCAGTTCTGGAAGGTTTCTGTCAGAGCCTGTGAGAGCTTCTTCCAAAAGCTTTGCTTGGTTTAATGTCATTGGAAAACCATCAAGGACCCAGCTTTGATCTACAGGAATCTGACTAAATTGAAAATGGACAAACCGTGAACATTTTGATACACATAAGTACTTTGGAAATAATAATACAATTCTTTCAATTCCACAAGAATCTCCTTCTGCATGAATTTTATTACTTTATAGCTAATGTTAGGTTGACAAATGCACCACAATCATTTCATTGCTCACGATCCTTCTGTGGGTGGATGCCTGCTACCCTCCAAATCTATTCTGGAGGCCATAGCACGGTATTTAAAACCAACTGAACACATCTTACTTACCTATTGCGTCTTCTCTCACACAATTTTGAACTATTTACTTCAAACAAACTGATCTCATTGTTATGTGAGTATGAATTGGATTTTCTAGTTTGTGTCCATAGGCAGTTCCTCCTTTGAATCTGTTTCCTCATCTATACGTAGTGGGATGACATAACTCAAAGGGTGGTTGTTAGGATGAACTGAAATGATGCATTTTGAGAACCCAGCACAGAGCTTAGCACATGGTGGATACTCACTGCCAACCTGGAGGGTTTTTCCTACCCTGCCCAATCCAGCCTGGAGTCACACCCGCCTGATCTGAACTCCTCTGGCTCTCATTCATTCACCATACAATTGGTAATTATTACATTTCTCAACTTAGGACAATTCAAGTGAGTCTTATTTATCTCAAGTAAATTCTAAGTTGCTGGAGGTTAAGGGCCATTTCTTGGGGTTTTTTTGCCCTCAGCGCAGCATCCTCTACAGAGACTGGGTCCTCTAAGAATTACTATTTTAGTTCTTTACGTTGGGAAACAATGTGGAAAGGGCATAAACTTCAGCTTTGCCCTTCTAAGTTCCTAAATGATGCAAAACTGAGATTTTGGTGTTTGGGTTAAAAGTTGAGATTTTGTTTCTCTGTTAGAACAGATATCAAACAATAAAACCCCCTTTCTAAAGGTGCATAATTCTTCTTCGGTGCCTGCACGTGATCCTCCTGACAGTGTAGCAAGGACGGAAGGGGAAACTGAAGTTCAGAGGTTTCATTACTTGTTCAAAATTTGCAAAACTGCAATGACCCCAAATCCACTGATCCTTCCACAGTATCAAGCTGCCTTCATGTCACTACCTCTACTTCCCCCATTAGGCTATAAAGAGCAGAAAAAGGGTGCATTTGTGCTTTTATAACTTGTCCAGAGCTTGGTAAAGCATTCTACATAGAACGGGTTTGTTGATTCATTTGCTTAAGGTGGAAAAGTTTCTTGAGTGCCTCCCTAGGCCTGGGTGACCTCTTCCTCCACCCACAGTCTGAGGAGCTACTTCAGAGTGAGGGGGAGGTCAGGGTCAGACTAGTTCAGTTGTAGTGTGAGGACACCAGGTGATGGGGAGTGAGGCAACCAGGGCTTTGACTCGAGCCACACTGCTAACTAGATACACGTGACTGGATGGCCTTACTGAACTGCCATGAGTCTTCATTTCCCCATCGAAAAAGGGTGGATTTATACCAGATGAAAGGGTTTCAAGCTGCTGACAGGGCTCTGAAGGGGCCTCAGGGGCAACGGGGATGGTGGTAGCAGGGTAGTGAAGTTCTCAGGGTGGTGTGTGGACATTCCAGCTCCACTGATACCAAAGCTAAGATCTGCTTGGTAGCTGATTTTTTTTTTTAAGCTGAGCCATCCTGCCACCTGTTGGCAGCTCAGCAGCAGCTCAGCTCGGGCGGGGCATCGAACTGCTGTTGCTCAGAGCTCGCAGTCTTGAGGGAGCTCTTAACCAACTGAGCCACTCGGCCGGCCCTATAGCTGATTTTTTTCATAAATATTTCTTTTTTTGAACAAGGAATCCCAGGGGTAAAACATATTTTGTGCCAGTTCTGAGAAATGTTATAACTAGTAGAACGAGATCCCTTCCGGCTCTGATGGGGGCCACATTCCCTGTTTCTTCAGCATTGCATTCAAGGAGCCATCATTCCAAGATACATCACAACTGAGAGGCAAGTTAAATCATTGATGGAGCCTCAGGAAACACTAACGGGGGAGTCCATTCTCTATGCATAGTAAAGCTTCCCTATAACTTCTCCTCACCTCTCTCAGTCCTCCTGTTTCCCACACAGCACAGCTACCCCAATGCCATTTCCTCACCCACTCCAAGCTCTCCAAGCTCTTTCACAGTAGCCTTTTTTATTCTTTTTCCCGTCCTGCTAAACCTCATCTCCTTATTATATGGACCAGCTGAGCCTCTACAGCTTCTTTTAATTGCTCCTTTTTCTGTCTTACAGAGGGCTGAGGAGAAGTCTTTGGTTTAGAAAGGAGAAAGAGATTACAGAATCATAGCCTATTTTGACTTTCTGTTTATCCCCTATCACATATCACCTGTGTGCTATGCTTTCTTGTGCAAATTTGCTTTCTCAGTGTCTTACCCACCACTGTCCAACCTTTGGATCCCTGGGTTCCCTCCCTCCTTCTGAAACACAAAACGAGGAAGCCCATTGGCCTGTGAGCACAGCCAGGGTCTCCCCACTCCACAATCTGTCCCGTGGCTTTTTCAAGCAGTAGCTGACATCTCCTTGAATTCCCTGCACGGAATAGAAACTGACGTGAATTCACATCTGAGTGAACGAAGTCATGGTTGGAAAAGGGGGAAGTAAAATATAGGCACGTAAATCACAAAATGCACCTTGATCTTGCTGTATGTGTTCTTAGGGAAATAAGTAGTATTCATTAGACATTAAAAATAAAAATATTTCTGTGTTATTCTTTAAATACCTCTATCTGACAGAAAATATATTAAAGAGATACAAAAAGTCATACATACTTAATAGCATTCACCATGATGCTAACTAGCAACATGTCCGAAATGCTCTTTCCTTTCTTCAGCAACTTTTCTGATTTTGCACCAAGCTGAGCACGCACAGTGAGCTGTGAAAATAAACAATGAATAGCAGAGTATAGCTAATTAAAAGTTAGATTCTAAATATTCGCAGGAAAAAAACAGTAAATGGCCATCCTCTCTAGTGAAGACACTGATCGTTTGTCACAATTCTGGAGTCAGCCAAGCATTTAAGGAAAATATGTACACAGATGTTGAGGTTCCTCCTCTGTGGCTCCCTCCCTTCCAAGATCTTTAATTTTCAGCTGTTCTGGCATCCCAAACTTCATCGTTCAAGACCTTACATTGAAAAGATGGAGGCTTTCTGCTTGAGTTCTAGCAACTCGTGCCATGCAGATGGGGCATGCCTCTGGGGTAACCTGTTAGAAGCATGGCTCTTGCCCAGTGAAGTTCTCTTCATTCAATGGTCACATTCCATATAGTTTCTGCTGCTTGCTTGTTTGCTGCTTTGCTTTTTTACCAGCTGCTTTTGGCCCTCAAATAGTAAGCTTTTCTATTGTGTTTAGCATTTGAATGTTATCTGTAGAAGGGCTAGTCCAACAAAGCTACCCTATACCAACAGGAACTTCCTAGTGTCTATGCTTAACTCAGCCACCAGAGTGAGCGTTTTATAAGTTAAATATTGCATCTCTACTAAAAACCCTACACAGGCTCCCTGTTTTACTCCTAATGTCCTAATAATTGCCTAGAAGGCCCTGGCGGACCTATTTTCCCTTCCTGTGCGTCTGTCTAGCCTCATCCCTTACTCTTCTCTCCAGCCTGCTGCCAAGCCCCTTTCTGCCTCATGACTGTCATCCAGCTGTTCTCACTGCCTGAAATGCTTCCCCAGTTCCAGCTGGCTGACTCTCTCGATCTTTTCTCAATCTTCTTAAATCTCACTTTCTCAAGGAGGTCTATCCCATGTAAGATGGCAACCTTGCCTCTCTCCCATGGCCTGTGCCCCTGATCCCTCTCCTCTCACCTACTCCACTTTTTCTTCTGTCCTGGCATCACCATTGAACAGATCATATAGTTCATTTATTTATGTTTATTATCTGTCTTCCTCTATTAAAATGTAACCCCCATTAGGCCCTGGAACCCCGTCTTTTTTGTTCAGTCGTATATCCCAAATCCTTACAACAGTGAACAGAGCAAAGTATGCCCTTTGAATTGAACTGAATATGGAATTTGGGAAATTTGTAACTCAATAAATATTAACATAAAAAATACACTTAGCCTTCTTGCTAATTTAAATTTCAAATACACAGAGTAAAAATTGTATGGAAGGCCCCCTTCATCACTTTCTCTAAACCCATTCCCTCCCCATCAGTCATCATGTTTACAGTTTGGTATATATGCCTCCAAAGCTTTTTCTATCGTTAAACAGTTTTGAAATCTAAAATATTATAAAATTGTTTTCCATGATGAAATGCATAATAAAAGTAATCAAATATAATAAAAACTAAGTAAATGAAATTCTACTTGATTAATATGACCATTCTATTTGTTGGCAAAAAAAAGTTACCTTATACAGTAAAGCAATACTATATATGGAAATATTACTTTTCATTAAAACAATAGTGAGTGTATTGCTGTAAACATTTTTTTCAAGATTAACAAAATATTCTGTAGAGTCACCAATAGGGCTAATTAGGATTAATTCTGGAAAAATTCTTCAATGGTAAAGAGAGTGTGAAAGAAAATAAAAGTCATAAATTAACTGGTAAAGAAAAACACACAAATATAAATTTGGCATAAGTCTAAAATAAAAAAAAAATGTGTTTACTTGGCAAAACTGAATAGCAATTTCCATTGCTTTGGATATAAAAAACGTTAAGAATATAAAAAATACTAAGTAAATTCAGGTTTAGCTAATATTTTACCATTAAATTTACTTTAAACCAAGGGGAGCATATTGCTGTTTGATTCCACTTAAAGACACACCATAAAGCTGGACATCAAGATACACTTCAATATAATTATATAATTATAAAGGTGATTATAATACTTACTTTGGAGAAACTATCACTTGATTTGGCTTCTTCAGTTTTTGGTGTTTTGCTAGTGTCAGCATCTAGCAACAGGAGAAGTGGTAAGAACAAACTCCAGTATTTACAGCTAACAACCAGGTTCGTATTTGACCATCTATGGTTTTGGACAGATGGGTTTTTGGACCCAGTTATGCCCGAGATACTCAGAGAAAGGAAGTAATAGAATCACCACCGGGTGGCTTTTACCCTCATTCCACAATGTTAAGATCCTGGCCACTGTGTGGCTTGGTGTTTTCCACTTCCTTCCTCCCAGTATGGCTCACTCATAATATCATTAGAAATACTTTAATACAGTTTGGGTTTTCTTTTCAGAAAACAAGCCAAGTTTTCTCAAGAAGTGTTATAAGGTTAATTCTTTATATTTTTATTTTCCTGGATTTTCTACTTATAAGTAACAAATCCAAAAATAGAAAATTCTAGAAGTCAGAGGGGTTTTTGGTTAAATTCTATGGAAAAAATATGAAGTTTTCAGAGTTCATTTATAATTAACTGTACTTTTGTAATAAAATAGGTTATATAGTACTTAGGTTAAAAGTCAATTAAAAATATCTTGTAAGAAACAAATAACCAACCCAAGGGACAGATTATGTCCTTTTAAAAGATGGAAAACTCAACTGCTCTAGGAGAGTTGCATGCTCATAATAAATCTACACATTGTCCAACAGCGATGACAATGATAATAATGTCACAGAAGGAGCTGAACTTTATTCTAGAATACAAGGAAACTATTTAATATGGCACAGCCTTCACTAGCACAAATAGAAAAGATATTTGAGACTTAAACTTGGTTTCTGTCAATGGTTCTACAAAGGATCTGAAGGACTAAAGCCCAGATTCCAAGAGGGATAAATTTTCATTCGGTTTGGGAAGATGTTTGAGCTCATACATGTGCTCTTACTGTTTGTCTGTCCCTCTAATGTAAATGGTAGATGATTTGTTTTTATATCTTATTTATAAGTGTAGTTTTACCTTCTGTTTCTGGTAATGCTTCTTCTGAGACTGATTCAGCTGAAAATTCATTTTGCAGATTCTTTGAGGAGAAAACACACACACACACACACACACACACACACATAAAAATAAAATTTAAAATGCTATTAAAGTATATTATTTTATCTAAAATATTGATGATATTGAGAGGGACTGAATACAAACAAAATTTGATGATAATTACTGAAAAACCCAGTAATCTATAAGACAGTAATCTGTTTTCCAGTTGGTTTTCAACTACTATGTAAAATACAGCAACTGCCATTAGGTAAATACAATGGAAGCTGAGGAAAAGGTAGACTTTATGGAAAACTCTAGAAAGAACAATTTTAGAGGTGTCAGTCATAGCCATAGGGAAGTAAAGACATGTGCATTATCTAGCACCCTATTGATTAGAATATGAAAAATACCATAATATGGAAGACAAAACAGCCCACAATGAATAAAACTTTTCCCAGTTATTTTCAAAATTCGGGTTAAATAATGTTTATTTTGCAGCTCATGCAAATGATCTGGATTAGATTCTCTGCTAATTTATTCAATTGCAGAGATAGCATAAGGTGGGGTAAAGAGTTCTGGATTTAGAATCTGGCATCCAATCACAGCCTAGACATTAAGAAGCCTTTTGACTCCAAGGAAACCAATTCATGCTTAAGGCCTCTACTGTCTCCTGGTTAAAATGAGGGTGCTGTACCACATGGCAATTCTCAAGGTGGGGACACATTCTTCTACTTCCTGCCCTAGAATCCTCATGCAATAATGTAGCAAGATGCAATGGTAATGGAAATGTGATGCTGGCAAATAATATGGAGACCTTCCTCCCACCCACCACCCCCCAAATTGAGATCTACGAGTTTAGATCAGAGGTCTGCAAACTATGGCCCATGGATCAAATTTGGCAGGGCCGACTATTTTTATACAGTCCCTGGGCATATATAACTCTGTGGGACAGCACTGTGAGCCTGGGACCAAGCTGGGCATCTTCCTCTGCCCCTGTCTCTGCTCAGCTCCAGTGCTTGCCATGGCTACTGCCCAGTGCTGACCTTGGTCTCCAGCTACAGTGGGGACTCTGCTGTTGGCCACTGCCAGGCTCTCAGTAGTGGAATTTCACTCCAGGAGCTGGTGACACGGTGAACTCACCCATAACACTCATATGCTACTGTCCTCCAACACCTTGCAATGCAGCCTCTCCACCCCTTCACCAGCCACTGGCTCTTTCCTCAGGAGAATGTCTCCAACCGAAGGTAACTGGGCACAAAGCCGGCCCACCACCCTGGATGGCCCACCCAGGGAAACTGGTGGCGGTGGTGGGGCTGCTCTCACTACATAAGTAACCCCATAATATCCTTGGCCCACAAAACCTAAAGTATTTTCTTTACAAAAAAGTTTGCCAACCTCTGGTCTAAAAAATCTCTTAGATTTCATTCAGCTTCAAACCTCTAACATATGAGATGCAGGGGAGAAAACTAAAATCACACTTGCCGGGCTTTCTTTACTATTCTCTTGCAGAACTGGTAGAGCCTTTTCTTCAGCTTCATTCTGAATTGGTAGGGCCTCAGTGACTCTTTCC